CAGTTAAATCTGTAACCAGCTCCAGCAGTCTGAAAAACTTGCAAAATTACAGCCTTTCAGAAACATCTACAAGAGCCCAGAGTGCTTTTTTTTTCAAGTATTTGATATTAACATCTGCATCTGCTGTCCGCTTTTAAACTCCGCTTAGGGATATAGAAACCATGAATAAGCCTTCAGACCTGAGTTTCATCTTGACTCACTGTTTGACTAAGTTTAGGAAAGTATTACGGTTTGGGTTAAAATATGGTCGTCTCACAACATTTTTGAAGCTTGTTCTCCATTTTCTGGGTTACCAGGGTGACATCTCACGTATGATTGTACGGCAATAACAGTAAAGCAATAAAATAAAATGTTAATTTGAAACGTATTTGTGATCCTGCAGAAAATACGTCTCCCTAAAAACTTTGAGAATTCAGTTCTCAGTGACTCCCTGCTATGAATGTAGCACCTGCAGTAGTTTCTCTTTTGTCTTTAGGTTTTCACACCAAATCATTGTGACTTAAAAGGACAAATTTGTGATTCGGATCTTCTTTTTGTTTTCAGGCCGGACGTTGGTGCCGACAGGTTAAGGTTGTCGCTGCTGCGTTTCTAAAGGTGGAATCATCTTCTTGTTTTACTAGACGCCAAATACCTTGAGTTGTTTTGGGCATTGCTGCTATGTTGATTCAGAGACACTTATTCACATAATGAAGTTATTTATTCAATAAAACAGGTTGATAAAATCAAAGAAGAAAAGCCAGATGGACTATTTAAATCATGTCTTTATGATCATTTGACTGTGAAAGTTATTCTTTAGTTTATACACTGAAAATATAAATGCAACTGCACACTGGCTTCAATGAGGTCACAGAGCCACAAAGAAATAATCTTAGTAGTTTATTCCCTTCCTGCATCAGCTGCTTTGGGNTGATTTTCATTAAATTTTTATGTATTTTCACTTTTGTCAATTTCAACTTATTTGAGTGACAGCTGTTTTTTTTTGCTTCTTTATTTTTTTTTTTTTTTTTAGCAGTTTCTAAACAAACAACAAAAACTTTTTACAGCATGTTCCTGCCTGTAAGACTGTACCGAGGGCTGCTCTACTCAAGTGTGTCTCTGCAGGAGAGCACAAGTGAAAATGGGTCACCTCTTGTTACTTACTGTAGGGAGAAAATCACTGCTTTTAGGGTTGTTTTTTTTTCCCCAGTGATTTAGATTTTCATTGTTCAAACCTGCTGCATATAATGAATGAATCCAATACTGTAGATTTGTGGGATAAATATGAGAAGAATGAGGATTTATCATCAGCATTTACAGCTGCAGGGAAGATTGATTGTAGAATAACACTGCAACTAATTCATCAGCTGTTTTGGCTATAAAATGTCAGAAAGTGGTGAAAACTACTGATCTGTGTTTAATGACAAATGTCTTTGTTTGTGTATATAGTCTTCTTTATAAAAAAAAAACAAAAACAAAAAACATCTTCTGTATATAATGTTTTTTTCTCTTGCAATTTTTTACACTGTGTGTTTTCTGTTTCTGTTTCTTTCCTACACTTTGCACTGGGTGTTCCCAATTATTCTTACACTGACTGCACACTTTTTTTTGGAGCTGTTGTAACGGTGAACCTTCCCCACTGTGGGATCAATAAAGTTATCTTTGTCGTTATCTTTATTTTTATCCACACCCCAAAGATATTCAGCTTGCTGTCACAGAGGAGAAAAAAAACTAGAAAATGTTCACATTTAAGGAGCTGCAATCAGAACATTTGTTTATTAGTGATTCGTTTAATCGCTGACAACTAATGGACTAAAGGTTGCAGTTCTATTATTAAGACAGATCAATAGTCATAGATATTTGATCTTAGAGGAAGTCTGTTGAATGTAGACACCCAGCTTCTACAGCAGATAAATATTTCATAATGTAAATCTGTAAACTGTTATCTTTATTTAAGTTCAATACAGGTAATTTTGCTATGTCAATGTTCATGCATGTTTGCATTACATATGTTCAATATAAGACAGAGAATCAGGTTAAAACGTATGTCTTTAGGAGGCACATACATGCAAACGTCCTACTTTGAAAGTAATGTAATGCAAATAAGATAAAATAAAACTTTATTAATCCCAAAGGAAATTGTCATGCCAGGTATCGCTCAGAAAACACAAAACAACATAAGAAAGGCAGTGCCTAAAAAGCAAAAAAGCAAAAAGATAGCAGTCCAATACATTACCGCAATCAAATAAGTGAACGAAAATAAATAACGAAAGTAATACTGGACTGGTAATTTTACTGAAGCAATAAGTCATATCACATGTAAATAAAATAAATGGAAGTAAAATATCACAAAAATAAAAAATACTGCACTTGAGAAATGAAAAAATGAGTTATTGCACATGTAGTGAAATCTGATCATTATTATTGTTGTTGTTTATTATGTTTACTTTGCTCTTGTTGTTTTGAGCAGTAATTTTGACTGATGTTATCAGTAATAAACTGATAAAGTCTCTCATGGCTGCAGTGAATCCACGTGTGAAGAAATGCACTTCTCTGTGTAAAACACCAGGGGGCGTAGTCTGTCCATTATATGGCTTTAACACACCAAACGTAGCTGTGAAGAAATAAGGTGTTGTTCACCATATTGCCAAAAGTATTGGGACGTCTGCCTTAACACACACATGAATTTTAAAGACATCCCATTCTTGATCCGTAGGGTTTCACATGGAAGTGCCCCCCCCTCCCCCATAACAGCCTCAACTCTTCCGGAAAGCTTTCCACAAGGTTTAGGAGTGTGTTTCTGTGAATTTTCGATCATTCTTCCAGAAGTGCATCTGTAAGGTCAGGCACTGATGTTGGACGAGAAGGCCTGGCTCTCAGTCTGCACTCTAAAGCATCACAAAGGTGTTCTGTCGGGTTGAGGTCAGGACTCTGTGCAGGTCAGTCAAGTTCCTCCACACCAAACTTGCTCGTCCATGTCTCGACTGACCTTGCTTTGTGCACTGGTGCGTAGTCATGTTGGAACAGGAAAGAGCCAACCTAAACCATTCCCACAAAGTTGGGAGCATGAAAGTGTCCAAAATGTCTTGGTATGCTGAAGCATTAAGAGTTCTTTTCACTGGAACTAAGGGGCCAAGCCCAACCGCTGAAGAACAACACCACATCATAATCCCCCCTCTGCCAAACTTTAGGCGTTGCACAATGCAGTCTGGCAAGTACTGTTCTCCTGGCAACCGCCAAACCCAGACACGTCCATCAGATTGCCAGACAGAGAAGTGTGATTCGTCACGTCCCCACTACTCTAGAATCCAATGGCGGCACACCTCGCTCCACTGCATCCAACGCTTTGTGATGTAAGGTTTGGATGCAGCTGCTCAGCCATGGAAACCCATTCCATGAAGCTCTCAGCGCACTGTTCTTGAGCTAATCTGAAGGCCACGTGAGGTCTGTGGCTATTGATTCTGCAGAAAGTTGGCGATTTCTGCACACTGTGCGCTTCAGCATCCACTGACTCTGCTCTGTGGTTTTACGTGGCCTACTGCTTCATGGTTGCGTTGCTGTTGTTCCCTGTTGCTTCCACTTCCTTATAACGCCACTAACAGCTGACCGTGAATATTCAGCATTGAGGAAATTTCACGAATGGACTTATTGCACAGGTGCCAGCCTATCACGGTACCACACTTGAAATCACTGAGCTCATGAGAGTGACCCATTCTTTCACAAATGTTTGTAGAATCGGTGTGCATGCCTAGGTGCTTGATTTTATATACCTGTGACCATGGAAGTGATTGGAACACCTGAATTCAATTATTTGGAAGGGTGTTCCAATACTTTTATGAATATAGGGTACTTGTTTCAAAACTGCACTTCAAAGTTATTGTGCTTGTTTTTTTTCATCCTGAAAAATTTCCAAAACTGAAGTAGAGCTGCTCATTTTGTGCCTCTCAGTGACCTTATGGTTACTTCAAGGGCCGATGTGCGAATATCAGACTTTGCTGAATGATACTCAGAGAAATATTTGATTCATATTTGTTGAAATGAGTGTATTAAACCCTCAAATTTAAACTTCATCATTGTGTCAGAAGCNAATAAACTGATGAAGTCTGTCATGGCTGCAGTGAATCCACTGGTAAAGAAATGCATGTCTGTGTGTAAAACACCAGGGGGCGTAGTCCGTACATTATATGGTAGATGTATTCACACCAATTCACACACTGGAGAGGAAAAACCCAATGGTGGCATGTTTGTTGGATTTAGGACCCATTTACTGAAAGTATTCGTTCTAGTGCAAGAAGATGGTGATGAGTCAGTGTATTACTATAATAAGCACCATTTGGAGCTTTACTGTACATTGTTCTGACTGCTGTTGTTTCTCAGGTGCAGATTGAAGTTGTACCAGGGGCGTAGTCCCTACATTATATGGCTTCAACACACCAAACTTATACTTGTCTCAAAACCAAACTGCACTTCAAAATGATTGTTTGTTCAAAGAGTTAAAATAATATCCACAGCAAAAGTAGACCTGCTCATGTTGAGCATTTCTGTATAGACGCAAGTTTCCCAAAAACTTTACTTGGCTCAGCCGCCAGAAATACAAGCTCTCGTGGTTCAGAATCTTGTTACTGACAAAAAGCCCAAAGCTTTAACAACGTATTATTATTTAATTGTAATTATTGCTACTATAATTATATAAAAAAATAGCAATTATAATTTTAAATGCTCTTTATTTTATAAAATTGCATTATCACTATTATTAACTATAGCATGAGTTTGGTGTGTTAAAGCCATATAATATGCCGACTACGCCCCCTGGTGTTTTACACAGAGAAATGCATTTCTTTACCAGTGGATTCACTGCAGCCATTGCGAAACTGTAATTTTATTGCTTTATATCAATGTCTGACTGTAGCGCTCTTTGTAACTGTGTGTTTTGAAAGGTGTAATTAATAATAATACATTTTATAAGGAAAGTGCAGTTAACATTTTCCCCTTGTCATAATTTCTCCTCTACATGAACAAATATAACATAAAAATGTAGACATGTTTGTCTTCTTTCACCCACTGTGACTTTCGGTGCTGTTGGACTTATAGTTTTCTCATAAATCGCCTCAGAGCACAGAGTGTGTTGACTAAAATTCTCATTGACTCCCGTTATATTGGAAATGTTCAGGTGAAAATCAGGAAGTCTGTCACCTGCCACCATGAAAATACATCAGCTTGCATAAAATGAGATGGTGCTTCACACGATGAAGGAATCTTTTCAATACAACTGATAGTTTTTGAGCTGGACCGTTTGTTTGAGGGTCTAATCCTCAGTCTGAACGTCTGCTCTGCTCACAACAAGCAACCGGCGACTCACAGCTGATTGGCTGACACATACACTTTCAAAGTAAAAGCTCAGCGATATTAAAAGGTACTGATCATGCTGGCTTTTCAACATAAAACGCACTTAAGTAAATGCTACCTTTTGTATAATCATAACAGGACCTATTAACTGTTGCATGTTGGTGATTTGATGGCTGCATCAGCTTTATACTATGTGTGACTTATTCTCAAATTTCTTAGTTGACTTAAACTCAATTCAGGTTGATGTAACTTAATGAAATCAGCTTGGTAATTACATTTTTCTTCAGCTTGAGTTCAGGATGCCTACTGAACATTTCGTTTATCAAGTATATACCAATTAAAATTCATTATTTTATTAGAATCATTAAAAAAAAACAAAAAAACAAAATGATCAATTCTTTATCCGGCCAAAGCATCCTCGGAAGACGAGGGAGATCTCCTCACCGACGACAGCTGGTGGGGTGACAAAAGCTGCAGGAAAGGAAACGGAAAAAATCAGCTAAACAGCAAAAAGTCAAACAGAGAGCAGCATTAGAGCAGAGCTTAGCCTCAATTATTCTCCTGTGTGGAGGCGCCTATACGGACTTCTACTGTTGTTGTCGTTTTCTTTTCTCTTTTCTTTTTTTTTAGCAGCCTGCTTGGAAGACTCTGTTTTATATGTGCACAGCAGGTTGTATCTACATATTCTGTGATGATCCATCAGGGTTCAAGTGCCAGTTGAATTAAATCTCATCATCTCTACCCACTTGGATCATACCTGCACCCCAAACTTTATTGAACTTAATGTCTTTTCTTCTTTGGTTTTACATGTTGTTCGATATTTGGGGCGGATGGCCGGACAGACTTTGTTCTAAGTTCATTGTACCTCTAAGTACTGCTTATTTCTTCTTGTTAAAATCAGTGAAGATACTACTGAAAACCGCAATCATCTCTCCAAACCTGCTGGAGTCCTGAGATGTAACGAGATGATGATGATGATGAAACTTTGAATTTACAATTAAATTAAATTTCATCATCTGTACTGACTTGAGATGCAGTTGCACCTCAACTGATGTATTCAAAGTCCCTTCATCGAAATGTCCTGTTTTTTTCTTCTCCTCTTTTAAATTTGTGTTACTGGACTTATTGACTGTTCAGAGCTGGGTTCTAGGGGTACTGTACTTCTGAGCATTCGTGTCTAAATGTACACATGCACAAATGTTTACTTGTTCTTTTTAAAGATACTGTTTGTTTTTTAAATTTAGTCTTCAGCCTTAAAGAGAGCATGATTAACAGGTAGAGATGTTTAAAGTTTGTGTCCACATGGTGACTGAAGACAACAGTGAAAATGTGCAGAATACGTAGATACCAGTCACTGTAGTCAAAGCTCTAGTTGCTGTGTGGTCGGTGTGGGTTTGAGGGTGTGTTGTGGGTTTGTCTGAGCCATGGATGACACCGTAGCTCCTGCACTGTCGGCTGCTGCTTTGGGATCTCAGAGACGCACATTTGCAGGAATTCCTTGCATTCTGGAGAGAACAAAAAAGGAAAACAAGGATGAACATTTACATCTGATCAGTGAGCAGATGAACTTCTGCTGACAGGTTTGCATTTCTTACGTTGGGACAAGCTCCTGCTGATGGTCAGCTGTTTGCCGAGGAAGCTGGTGGTGTTCAATCAGGTGTGTCTGTGCAGCATGTCAAACAGCACCACTCCGAAGTGCCACACAGTGGTGGGACCAGCCACGTAGGTGTTGCGACTGTCGAACTCTGGTGGGATGTGTTGAGGCATGCCTACAAAACACAGAAGAAGAAAGTGTGATTTTTGTTGTTTTCGCTCACTTTCTTTCCTTTCTCCGACTAGAATCAAAGTCAAAGTTCACAGTGTGTGGATGTAAAAGTCACAGCTTGGTAACCAGATGTTGTACTGTGGAAGACGTTAAAACAGGACGTCTTCTCAACAAAGCAGCTCAAACTGAAGTTAAGCAGACGGAGACGAGGTACGTCTGAGCCGGTCTCTATCAAGATGTTTGCAAGCTCGATGTCTCGGTGGAAGATGTGGCTGCTCTCCAGGTGGATCGCGGCATCGATCAGCTGTTTCAGGATGATCTAAGAGACATGGAACAAAGACAACGATGAGGTTTTCACTGTGAACAGACTGGCAGCACTACAACGACTAACAACCCATAATGCACCTGTAGAAGACCTTTTTACACAGATACTCATTAAAAACAATATCTGACTGTCCATAGCTCAGACACAAGAAAACCTCCAAATTTCCAATAAATATACAGTCTGAAGCTAACGGTAATGTTCCTAAATGTGCACACAATTACACTTCACATCAGGTTCCACACCATATCTATTCTTTATAAGACAGTAAATTCGTAGTTTTGGTTTATACCAATTATTTTTTGAGGTTTGTGTAAACCTCTGCAGTTCCAAGATATGAAGTTAAGCGTTATTCTTTGAGACATAACTAATAAAGTACTTCAATTTACCTACTGACGCAAGTTTTACTCTTTTAAGGAACCCAACAAAACTGGATGCAACCACCCACATCCACCACACTGAACTTGTGTGAAAACCATAGCAATTTGTTTCCTGCTGATTTTGCCCCTAGGGGATAAATAAAGTTATTTGAATTGACATGACATAGATAGTTAACAATTAACAGTCAACAATTTCCCTGAGGTTTCCACCAAAGGGATCAATAAAGTTCTGTTCTATTCCTCTATTCTATTCTAGTTGGAGTCTGTGCAGTAGTGGTTGGTCATTTCCTGGTTGTGCTCAGGTTGTGCGAAGAGGGAAGGTTTTTAAAAAAGCAAATAGTAAACACAACAACAAGCAGGTGAATCACAATTTTAAAACAAAACAAAACAAAACAAAAAAAATGTGTCTAAAAATATAAGTAACATAATTGGCACTATCAAAATCTGACCTTTGTGACCTTCACAGCACGTGGAAACCAAAAACCCTGAATGACTGCAGAGGTGCGCTTGCTGCTGATGGCCCTTGATGCAGCCTTCAGGGTGAGAGACAGGACTGCTCTTCATTCAGCCGGATCTGAGCTCTCAAAAGGGATCAAGGCTGCGAAACGCACTGACTCAGAGAAAATCCAGGAACACCTCTGTGACACAGGAAACACCAGACGGATGTGGCAGGGAGTCCAGGCACTGACGGACTACAAGACCAGGCAGGGGGTCGACGACGATGACACTTCTCTTCCAGACAGGCTCAACAACTTCTTTGCACGCGTTGAAGCATCAAACCCAGCAATCAGAGAGAGGGCTGGTCCGTCTCCTCCATCTGTCAGGCCAGCTTTCACTATCAGTGCAGCAGACACACGGAGGACCCTTACTAGGGTCAACCCACGAAAAGCAACAGGACCGGACAACATCCCGGGACGTGTGCTCAGAATCGGTGCTGATAAGCTGGCAGATGTGCTGACTGACATTTTCAACATCTCCTTCAGTCAGGCCTTTGTCCCCAGATGCTTCAAAACATCCACCATAAATCCAGTGGCAAAGAAATCCATTGTAGCCTGTCTGAATGACTATCACCCCATCGCACTGACACCGATTGTGATGAAGTGTTTTGAAAGTCTCGTCAAACCACACATCACAGCCAGCCTTCCTGCATTGCTGGACCCCCTTCAGTTCGCTTCCCAATTGCTCCACAGAGGATGCAATATCCACCACCTTGCACTCAGTCATTACCCACCTGGAAAATAAAGACACCTATGCTAGAATCCTGTACATTGATTTCAGCTCAGTGTTTAATACCATCATCCCCCAGAGACTAATAAAAAAACTCCTCCTACTCGGTCTGGATACTGCCACATGTCTCTGGGTCCTGGGGCCTCATTTATCATCAGTGCGTAGGCACAGATATGTGCGTAGAGCGTGCGTACAAACATTCCTACGCAAAGTATGGAATTCATCAACTTATGCTTATACTTAGGAATGTGTGAAAATATACGCACACCTCTGACCATGCGTATGCACATAATCTAGTGGTAGAATAGTGAAACTTCAAATAGAAAGTATTCGGGGATTCTGACCACCGGCACATCCAGCGTGAGGTTGGAGACATATGCGACATTTCCAGCAACCACTGAGCAGGATCAAGCCAGCAGTGTTGGATGCCGAAACTCCTCTGGTCCCAGCCTACATCCAGTTCCCTTACAGCCATCACCAACGAGCCCAAATCAAACGGGGATTAGCCACAGACTTCACCCACATCACAATCAAAGCAGCATCACTAAACGAGCTTAATTTTGTAAGTAGAAAAGGGTTTCATTCAATCAACATACTGATAATTTGCAATGCACATTTGTCGCTATCCAACGTTGTTGCCTGGTGGCTTGGAGGAACTCAACTCATTCATTGAGCAGAACAGTTTTGTGGGTGTGAGTGTTACAGAGTGTGGAAATGTTTTTGCTGGCCTTGGTCTGGTTATTAAAACGTCTCATCTGTCGGTGAGCACTGATGATAAATGAGGCCCCTGGACTTTCTGACCGAAAGACCCCAGTCTGTCCGAGTCGGACAGAACATCTCCAACTCCATCACGCTGAGCACTGGATCTCCTCAAGGCTGTGTATCAAGTTTGCTGATGATACCACAGTAGTGGCATTATTCGTGAGAACAAAGAATCAATGTACAGAGATGAAGTGAAACACCTAGAGAGCTGGTGCAGCAACAACAACCTGCTGCTCAACGTGGACAAAACGAAGGAGGTGATCATCGACTTCCAGAGGTCACGTCCTGAGCATGCTCCCCTCAGCATTAGCGACTGCACAGTGTAGAGAGTGGAGAACATCAAGTTCCTCAGAGAGCAGATCTCGCAAGACCTGAGCTGGAATAAGAACACC